CCTACTCCGAACGGTATCTACTACGGCTTCAACGACAAAGGTCTGGAAGCAACTATGAAGTTCGATGGGGAGTCGCTAATAAAAAACGTCGAGATAGGAGGTCCCCAACGATGGCGGTATGATGGATTGATCTTCAATATGATTGGAAAAGCGATAAGTTGTGAGTTGCTTACGAATGGACAATCAACGATGACTTTCCTGATTCTCGAGCCTGTCGACCCTACCAAGTTCGACGGCACTAAGAGTAGCTTCCCGCGCGCTCGATTGAATACTATGGTTGGACAGCCCTTCGACAGTAATAATATACAGCAACTCTTCGGCCTCCCTGAATCGAGCAAACTGGGTGCTTTCGGCTCCCGAATCGCGAAAAGCTTCGGATCGATCAGAAGACCAGGGGCTGCTTTCCGCAGACGAACGGGAGGTATGCTCGAGAGCACGGAAGATGAAATAGATGCAGCGGAGTCTACACTCGGATACCACAACATGATTACCAAATAGGTGGACAACCAGCAGTAATAATGCGCATCTTCCACAGCACGACGAGCCTTGACTGATCATTGGGGCCTCTTCAGGATAACATCAAGACTCCATCGAACGAAGGCGTACACATGTATACACTCAGATATGTGATCTACTTTCATGATGCTAAGTTTGCTGTACGTGTTGTCCCCTCATGGAAGATCTGCTTTTGTTCAGAAAGACTAGACTAATATCGCGTCTTCATCTATCACGCTGTTCTGAAAGTTGTCCTCACTCCGAAGTTCGGAGTCCGAACGCGTGCTTCATTTCCAGACAATTGTCGTTCAAGACACATGTGGTGAAAATAAACTAAGCCTAAACGAGCCCCTGAAATTCAATTTTAGTTTTCTTGTCCTAGACTCACACATAGAGAGCAGAACCAGCAACTCACAGATAAATCTGGTGACCTAGTCAAGCACGAAAAACTCTACTGACAACCGTACTTGATCATCACTAGTGGCAACGTCGTATCTCCTTTCGCGTCAACAAAGTTCCACGTGCACCACGTCTTATCATGCAAGGAAGAAGGGCGACGATCACAATACGGCTCTTTCGGTACGCGGGGCATCTCAGATGAGCCTTCCGCGTATCCAAGAATCTTGACACCGGCCCATATCCGTGATACGGCAGAAATTACAGTATGGGTACGGCACAGTCGTACTGTGACAGTCCCGTATCCCATCATGGGGGTACTCTAGTCTTCAATATATCGGGTGGTGGCGTGCCGTACGAACTAAATCTCAAGTTTGCACTGGGTCAGGCAGCTGCATCTCGTCTCGTTTCAGACTCTTCTGTACCCCCAGTGTTTCTAACGCTCAATACAGCAGAAGGAATTCAACGTGCAGCCTGCCTCGGAGACATTTTAGTGGTATCTCGATTATCGAGCGTTTCATCAGATCCGAAATTCCGGTGAGTGAAGTATCATCGAACTGAATATCACCCCAATGTAGGCTAGGGGGGAAGTAGGGAAAAAGGGGACGCGAGGAGAGGAAGGAAGAAGAGAAAGGAGAAGAAGAAATGCCACATCCCCTACATCACATGCCACATCCCACTATCCGACAGTTCGATAGATGTGGCTTGCACTGCCCTGCTAGTTGCCTGCAGTGCTCATGAGAAATTGATCACGCTGAGCGAGAATTCGAGTCAATGATTTGGAGGCTTAGGCCGTAGAATCGGCCTAGGTATGCACGTGAGGAAACACGTGATATCATAACAAACATAGTATCAAGTTAGAGTATGTGTCCATGCGAGTGTTGTACGTGTCGTCACTTTGTGAAGGTTTTTCGTTCGAGTGGCCAGATTCGGACGCCTATCATGTCATCGCTATGTAATCACACCCTAATAATGCAATGGATTGTTAGTTCCTGATTTTTCACGTACCGCGTGATAATGTACGTCTCTTAGTTCCTGGTTTCTGGACTCTGAGTATATGTATTCTATTCATTTGCGGCGCAAACTTTGCGCTATTCGAACTGATAGTTCTAGTAGGATTAGCCGCTAGTTCTGCGCGCCTCCGGATATCACTAATTCGTCATTAAAGGATCTATCGATTCAGTCAAGTGTTTCAGAGTTCCATCGTAGCTCTCACGTTTCTCACACGACGACACAGAATATTGATGAAGGAATGGAAACGTTCTATTGCGCTAGGCTGTATGCGTTCACAACCTGCGAGCATCTGCAATTCACGCCGTGAATTTGTGCGAGTCGCTCGCAGCGAGTGAAACAGCAATTTCAAGAGATATTTTCCACGAGAAGGTATAGGAGGAAATATCATTCTGTCGTGGTATAGACTGAAGTAATTGTTGTATTTTTGCACGATCCCGTACAGTTACGATCCCAGCAAGGAATTCGAATCATCGAACACATAGAGACTCTGATAGAGTACCGAGCAACTCCGAGACCGGAGCATGATCATGAGGGTGAAGGCAAGGAAATATGATAAGATGATGCGTGCTTACTACTGATGCGATTAAATGGCTCAATGTGCTTTAATTAAAGTCACAAGTGCTGTTGAGGCAACAGTGTTGACTTCTGTAGTAAGTATGTAGCGAATCATGAGCTAGCTTCGTAAGCTCGTCAAGTTGCTTGCTTGAACAGTGACTGCTCGAGTGACGACGGCTTGAAGAAGATAAACCACTTGATCGTTTAGGGACTATTGCGTGCTTCCTACAGAGAATAGCTGCCATACCCACGCAGTATGTCCCTGAATGTTACACGGCACTGCCGTGGCTGCCGTGACGGCAGCGACTTTCGTATGCAGTCAGGGGAAATGCGGATGCAATTTGGATTGCAGAAATGGCACACGTCTCCTACATGCTCCCATCTAGTGAACACAAACGGCTAAGTGCAGCTCTTCGGACTCCTCATTGCTGAGGGGAGCTCGCTATCGTTCGCTTGTAGCTCATTCGCATAGCGCTGTGCAACAATATGTAACAATATGTCCGCCTCTGGGGAACATTGCGATAAAATAGTAGCGAGCTCGGCGCTGCTGGGGCGTACGATGGAGAAGTGGGCAGGAAGCGAAATACGTTGGGAGAGTAACGAAACATTCTAATGTGCGTCAAAAGTGATGATTAAAGCAATAAAGGTAGCAAGAAAAGAGTCTAGCAACATGACTTGTGTTTTGTAAACGCCGATGAACTCACCGATTTTTAGTGTATTGTCTTCAACGGACGGTCTAAATGCCAAAATTCGCCGGGCCATCAAGACCGTACTGTAAGGCAATGACGATGATGCACCAATGCTCGCCTCAGAGACGGCTCCGTGACGTCTCGGTTTGTGCGACGTGGAAATGCCGCTGATTTGATCGGACTCGACTCCATCGCAGTGGGACCACCTGGAATCTCACATCGCATCTTGTCTTCTGGACGACAATATTCTTCCTCTTGTATGCCTTGTGTCGTGTATTCCCTTGTGGTGATACTGACACTTCAAGCGACGTTGGTGAAATGCGATGAGCAACCGATTCTCATAGGGAAGTCTCAGCAGGGAACTAGATACTACTTCGAGCTGTGGCCGAAGGGAATGTCAAGGAGCGTATCGGGTATTGAAGATCGAAGAGTAAACGGATTCTCCTGCTATTATGTAAGACCGTACCTGTTGGCGTCTGCAGCCTCGAAGGAATACGCCATCTGGCTGTCTACTATGGACGACATTAAAGGGTACAAGGAATACCGGGTATCCGGCAAGGTCGCGGGCAAGACTTGTTTCAAGACATTCTTGCCTCTCGTAAGCGAAGAGAAACGAACGAAGCCCTTGCCGTTCAAGCATCCAGTCGTCTCCACTGCGAATCAGATATGCACCGAGAATGGTTTATTGCTCAGCACGGCTTTTGAGGAGCCCGTTCCGAACGGTGTGTATTATGGTTTTATCGAAAATGGTATGGAAGCAACGATCAAGTTTGATGGAAAGTCGCGAGTTCAGCATGTCGGGATCAATGGTACCGATCGAGGACGCTACAACAAGGTGACCTTCAATATGATCGGAAAGGCGATACACTGCATGTTTGGTTCGAGAGAAAGATCTGCAACAGCTGAGCTGATTCTTGAACCTATTGACGTTACCAAGTTCGATGGTTCCCGGAGGAGTTTTTCGAGTGCTCGACTGAACACTGTGATCGGACAGCCGTTCAACAGCAACGAACTGCGAGTCATACTCGGCATACGCAAAACTAACAAGCTCAAGGCTATTGGCTCCCAGATCGCGACGGGCGTGAAATCGCTCGTAAGACCAGGATCTGCGTTGCGCATGAAAAATGGGCTGGCCGCAGAAGGTATTGCAGATGCGTAAGATAATAAAGGCCGGCCGCTCACCGAGTAGATAAGAAAACGACGATAATGATGTAAGTCAGTGCGACTAGGCTCCTTCTTTGATTATTCTACAGGTTTGAGACGCTAGTTATCCCTAAAGGAGCGCCGATGAAAGACGCACGATGGCATGTGAGCAATGAATTAGAGATGTATCAAAATAATGTCAATGTATATGTTGCCGTGGCAGCTTGCCACGCTCCTGGGAACTTTTGTTTGGTTCAAGTGGAGACTAGGCAGCTAGTTCGCTTGCATAGTGCGAATTGTGTTCTTAAGGAGATTCAACGCACTTCTGTATCGCCGCCTTTCCATGATGAACGGCCCTCGAGCTCCTCACATTAGTCGGTTCATTGATGTTGGTAATATCATGTTACTAGTTAAGGGCAGAAGCCTCTCGCCTGAGCTGCTCCTTACGCCTCATCCTCATGACCTACTAGGTCAGACCTAGTAGGTTAAACCTACAGTATAACAACGAGTTGAATATGATTCTATACCTCTGGCCCGTCCTAGGTCCGATTATGAACCCCGGGGGGGCCTACACTCGAGACTATCGAGTGTCATGGAGTCTAGCGTGGAGTACCGTCATTCACGTATCATAGGCCGTTTAGAGACTCTACGTGACGTGGACGACGATCATATGACAGGTACCTAAAAGCCGACACTGTCGGACGATATTGTGCCCGACAAAGAGCGGTCACAACGATCGCCGTCGAAGCATCCGGCTCTCGCAATACTTGAGGAATTAGTCATGCTTGGATAATGAACCATTGCCCAGCAAGCTCGGGAGGAACCTTCTCTGAACGGTATCTACTACGGCTTCGACGACAATGGTCTGGAAGCAACTACGCAGTTCGATGGGGAGTCGTTAATAGAACACGTCGAGATAAAAGTTCCCCAAAGATGGCGATATAACAAGTTGATATTAAATATGATCGGAGGAGCGATAGGCTACGCGTCGCTTACGAATGGAAAATCAATGGAGACTTCTTGATTCTCCTGATTCTCGAGTCTGTTGGCCCTACCAAGTTCGACGACACATAGGGTTGCATCTTGCGCGCTTGATTGCACACTACAGTTGGACAGCCCTTCGACATTAATGATATACAGCAACTCCTTGACATCCCTCAATCGAGCAGGTTGAGGGCGTTGGACTCCCGAATTGCAAGGAGCTTAAGATCGATCAGACAATCAGGGGCTGCTTTGCGCAGACGGACGGAAGATAGGATCGGGAGTCCAGAGCAATGGCATTTTTCTTCTATCTCTTCATCAATATGACATGTTGTGATGAAAAGAATACGAGTGCTACAATGAAAATATGGAAAATTCCACTAAATCGATCGACCCTCTCATAATCAACTATTAATATCCGGAGGCGCGAATTTCCCAGCGCGCGCAGAACTAGCTCAAAAAATAGAATACTTCATACTTGTTTGCGTCACTCCGCTCAGTGGTTAATCCAAAGTCTACAAACCTGGAACAAGGAACTAAGAGATGTACATAATTACATGGAATACAAGAAAAATCAGAAAATAATAATTCATTGCGTTTTTAGCGTATGGCAGCATAGCATTGGCATGGTTGGTGTCCGAATCTGGCCACTCAACGCAAAATCTTCATAACGTGACGACATGTACAACATCAACACAATCTCGGACACATACTCCAACTTGATACCATGTTCTTAGCCATCTAGCCTATTTAACCCTGAGAGGTTATCAGTATTTATGGTGAAGAATGCTGTGATGAACTTACCGTCGTTCATGAACTTAGTCGGCGATCATCTGAGTTGTGTTGCGAGAAAGCTCTGAATCGATCTCGTCCTCTGCGAGAAGTTTTTCGTCCATCCCGTCTCGCATCATGCGTCTGTGCATGGAAAATGCGGGTATTCTAATCGATCTAATGCTCCTGGCAATGCGAGACCTCAAACGTTTGAGCTTGCCAGGCTCACTGAGGCCGAACAGTCTCCTCAGATTACTCGGGTCGAAAGGCTGCCCGACCATAGTATTCAGTCGAGCGCTCTGGAAGCTTTCCTTCGTACCATTGAATTTGGTGGGGTCAACAGGCTCGACGATCAGATCGGTTACCCCATCCTCTCCTTGAATGCCAAAAACACAGCTTATCGCCTTTCCGATCATACTGAAGATCAACTCAGTGTACCGTTCCCTCTTCGGACCATTCATTCGGACTTCCTTGATGCGTGACCGCCCATCGAATTTGATCGTTACTTCTAGACCATCCTCGGTGAAACCGTAGTAAACACCGTTAGGGGCAGGCTCCTCCTCAGCCATGCTGAGGACGAGCTCACCTCCCGCGCACAACTGATTCGCAGTGGTGACTACAGGATGCTCCAACGACAAGATCTTTGCCCTCTGTTTTCCTCGTTCGGCATGTGTAAAGGTCTCGAAGCACGTCTCACGGGCTATGTTACCAGAAGTGTGGTACTCCCTGAACCCTCTTATATCACTCACAGTGTATAGCCAGGCAGAGCCCGATTGAGAGTACTTGAATGGTACCAGAGATGGTCGTGTATGATGGCACGAGAAGCCATTCACCTCGCGAGAGTCCAACTCCGATACGCTCAGACCCATGCCCTTCGGCCACGGGTCGAAGTAGTATCTTACTCCCTTACTCTCTCCCATGAGGAACTGTTGTGGCTGATTGTGGCTCCTCACGACCCCGACTTGAAATGCAAGCACCAGCAGGATTATCAGATATGTGGAAGGAGGCATGTGAGCTGTAAAAGCTTGTTGACGGGATAAGAGGAGACCCTGAGAGAATCAAAGAGTTACCAGGCTCACTAATGATCTCGTGCGAGGCGAATGCTGTGTGGCGAACTGACAACTGTTACGACCCTCACGTGCATACCTAGACCTATTCTAAGGTCTAAGCCACCAAACCCTTAGACTCGAATCTTCGATCAACTTTTTATCTTGTGATCAGTTTTTGATGAGCCGTTCGCTGTAGACAACAACCGGAGCAGTGCAAGCCATATCTATTGAGCGACTAGTTGCCTAGTTATAAGTAGATTCGAATGGTTGAGTCGTGGGATGTAGGAGAAGGCTTCGAGAAGCTCTCGAAGAGAATTCTCCTTTGTCCCTCTCGATTCTCTTCGCCATTCCTTTACCCTCATTCTTATACCCTTCTTCCCTCCGTTTACCTCAACCTAGATTGAGGTAGGCTTCAGTTCGATGATACTACTGTCACGGGAATTTCAGAACTGAAAGAACGCCCGAAAATCGGGCAGCCATCGAAATGTCTCCAAGGCGGGCGCAACGACGAAATAGTTCGACTGCATGCAGTGTTGGAAACACTCAGCGTACAGGATGCCTGTAACAGGAAGAAATGCAACTGTGTGGGCCGGTGCAAACTTGAAATTCAGTTCGCGCCACACCCGATATATTTGAACATGGTTGATTCATTTGACTAATTAACTTAATCAGAATACCTTCGTGATAGGGTACGGGAGTGTTCCGTACCCGTACCGTAAATTTCTGCCGTATTGACATGCAGACGGCCCCCTCGAGGTGCCTCGAATAGTATTCGACGAATACCGAAAGAGCCGTGTTGTGTCATATATATGCCGTTTCTGTTACACAATATCTCCCTTACTCGCGATGGCCAGATATATCATGGATCCCGACTCGGAATTCCTCGGTTGTAGCCTCTAACAGCACACTTTCCCTCCCCGTCGGTGAACTACCATGCTACACACGCCTTCTGTTTTATGTCTCATCAATCTGATACAAGCTGGTATCGTGAGACGCGCGGACAAACTACCACCACTGTTTCTTCTGCCAGAGGACTTCTGGGAAAATCTCATAATGGAACAATATTCTTTTTCCAACTGTAGCCTAAGGAGATGTCTCTGCGTGGATGGGACATTTACCTTCGACAAGTAGACGATGTAAAATGCACTTATATGATTCGACTTATCCAACCTTCTAAGGATGAGAAAGAATATTCTGTGTGATTGTCTACTATGGATGACAAGGAAGGGTCCAAAGAATTCGAATATTCCTGAAAGATCCGCGCTAAGGCATGTTCCACGACTTACTACGCTATTTCGCCCGACAAGGAGCGAGCAAAACGCTTGCCGTCAAAACACCCGGTTGTCTCAACTGGGAACCAGTTACGCTTGGTGATTGTACTCGATCGTCACAAGTGGCAACACAGTATCAGATACTGAGTATCTTCCCGTCAGCGAGGTTACGCATGCACCACATCCTCCAAGTTCTACGTCTGATCATGCTGGGAAGGCTTACCAGGGAAGCTGTTCGACGATCACAATACGGCCCTTTCGGTACTCGGAGTACCTCGCCGAGGTACTCCGAGTAACCCGAGGTAACCTCGGGCCGTCTGCGTGGTCATGAATGCAAACGCCCGGCGGACGCTTGCCTATCCATCCTCGTAATACGGCAGAAATTACGGTACGGATGCGGCACACTCCCGTACCCCATCATAAAGGTACACTAATCACCCACGCTCAAATATGTCGGGTGGTGGCGTGTGGTGCGAGCTGAAATTAAACTTCGGACTGATCCACATGGTTGCCTTTCTTCGTGTATGCTTTATTTAAGTCGCTGAGCTTCAGTGTCTTCGACGATTCGACGCGACAGCCTGAGGAATTCGCCGTTGCGCCCGCCTCGGAGACATTTTGGTGGCATCTCGATTTTCGAGCGTTCTTTCAGTTCCGAAATCCCCGCGACAGTAGTATCAGCGAACTGAAGCCTACCTCAATCTAGGTTGATGTAAATGGAGGGAAGCGGGGGATAAGAATAACGGGGAACGAATGGCAAAGAGAAAGGAGGGGGACAAGCGAGACTCTTCGAGAGCCTCTCGACGCCCCCTCCTACATCCACCGACTCAACCATTCGAATTCACCCACAACTAGGCAACTAATCGCTTGACAGATATGGCTTGCACTGCTCTGTTATTTCCCTACAGCGAACTGTCGAAAGGCTTGGTGACTGAGACCTTAAATGGGGTCTAAGTATGCCCGTGAGGATCGTAATGGTTGTCAGATCGCCCCACAACTTCGGCCTTACACGAGATGTCCATTGTCTCAGAATCTTTTTCTTGTTCCTTTAGAAACGTCTCCCATCTTGCATGCCTACTGCCACATATCTTATCATCCTGGCGGTGCTTGCATTTCAAGTCGGGATCGTGAGGAGCCACAAGCAGCCACAACAGTTCCTCATGGGAGAGAGTGAGGGAGTAAGATACTACTTCGACCCATGGCCGAAGGGCATGCGTCCGAAACTATCAAAAGTGGACTCTCGTGAGGTAAATGGCATCAACTGCACTTATACACGACCATTCATGATACAATACCCTGGTACCGGCCGTTTCGCCTGGTTGTATACTGTGAGTGATATAAGAGGATCAAGGCAATTCTATTCGTCTGGCGAGATAGGCGGCGAAACGTGCTTCGAGACCTTCGAAAGTTACGAATGGAAAAATCGGACGGTGAAGCGCTTGGCGAAGGAGAATCCTGTAGTCACCACCGCGAATAGTTTGTGCGCGGGAGGTGAGCTCGTCCTCAGCATGGCTGCGGAGGAGCCTGCCCCTAATGGTGTTTACTACGGCTTTAGCGAGGATGGTTTCGAAGCAACGATCAAATTCGATGGACGGTCGCGCATCAAGGAAGTCCGAGTGAACGATCCGCAGGGAGAAGTCACTAAGTTGATCTTCACTATGATCGGAAAAGCGATAAAGTGCTATTTTGGCATACCAGGAGAGACCAGATTTGTCAATCTGATCGTCGAGCCTGTTGACCCCACCAAATTTGATGGCACGAAAGAAAGCTTCCATGGCGCTCGACTGAATACTATGGTCGGGCAGCCTTTCGACAGGAGCCATCTAAGGAGATTGTTTGGCCTCAAGGAGCCTGGCAAGCTCAAGCGTATGCGGTCTCGCATTGCCAGGAGCATTACATCGATCAGGAAACCAGGGGCCTTTCTACACAGACGCACGATGCGAGACGGAATGGAGGAAAGACTCCTCGCACAGGACGATACCGATTTAGAACTCGACAACCCAGCTACGATGATGGCCGACTACGTAGATATATAAACGACGGTAAGTTTTTCACAGCGTTAAACGCGTAACCGGAATACTGATAATCTCTCAGGGTTGAGTGCGCTACTAGCGCAGCGCTAGTCTAACGTCATTAACTATCCAGGCACCAAGTTCACCCAAATAGATGTCTCCAAAAGCAAACGTTGGGATATGTATAAGGGAAAGTGTTGATGTTGCACATGTTGTCGCGTTGTGAAGGTTTTTGGTTCGAGTGGCCAAATCTGGCGGCTAACAATGCAACTGATAGTTTGTTCCTAATTTTCCGAACACCATGTAATAATGTATGTTTCTTCGATCCCAGTTCCAGGTTTCTAGACCTCGAAGTTACCACTGTGTGGAAAAACACAAGCAGTGATAGACCTTTCTAATCATTTGTGCCGGTTCTGCGCAGTGCGCACGCTGGGAAGTTCGCGCCCCGGATATCAAAAAACGAGAAAGAGTGTTTCAGATTTCCATAATCAGCCACTGAAATAGACCCGCCCATGAGCGAATCCATTTTCGCTTTGCTTCATTATCTATCAGAGCATCATACTCCTCCAGAATCCGAGCAACAGCAGGTTCAGAGAGACCGGCAGTACCCTTAATGACTGGGGATACTTCCAAACCTTGGAATATAAGACCACAAAAAGTAATAGCCTTCATATTATCGAATAAAAAAATATCTTCAAGAAATGGGAAAAGAACGAATAATCTCATTTTGCTGCTCCGGGTTGTATAGGTTCACAACCTGTGAGCATCTGCGACTCGAAAAAGTTCGTGCGGATGAAATACGACTTTTAAGATAAATTTTCCCACGATAAAATATAGGGAGAAATTCTCATTTCCTTGTGATTTAGACTGGAGTAGCTACTGTCTTTTCGTACGATCCCCTGGGCCCCCACCTTGCGACTGGCATCCTCTTCGAGTATCATAAACAAACATCCATCACCAGAGTTTACTCTCAGATACGGTGTATCCGAGCGAGGACTTTTCCTTCAAACTTCACGTATCCATCGCCACGGCACTACAACAGCTTTGGCCAACACTGTTCGGGCTTCCTATCTGAAGGGTTCTCTAAGAGCTGACCAGATGATCTCCTCGAGGAAACGACACCTTAGCAAATGATATGATTTTTAGTGACAACTGAATGGCTCGACAGGCAGAATAAGTCCCATCATCCGCCCATCTTACTTTAAGCAGAGAGTAGATGTAGGTGAGAGCTTTGAGCACATATAGACTGGATACAGAAGAGATACGAGCTACCGTGTAACATCTGCATCATATTCGAAGTTGATCGCAAATCTATATCCCCTCGCCTCAATTCACATACACTCACAGCAGCTATGAAGAACAGTGATAATTCAGGCTACGACTGAAGTGACACAACGAATGGAAAGGAGCAGAAGTGTGGTATTCAAATTCAGTGTGGTAAAATTGGCACATCACCAACCACAAGTGTTGGTGACAATATCTAAACTCTTTGAAGAATTTCTGTTAGTTTCTGTCCACTTTTGGAATGTTTGTCGATTAGTATACGAAGTCCTGTGGTAAGTGAGGAAACTATTGAGCTCAGCTGAAGAAAGCGAGTACATATTTTGCAGCGCTGTTCAAATTTATCCCAGTTCCCCTCACACACTTGGTACACTGCATCCTGAGTTCAGATTAACACCACAAACCTCACAGTCCTGTTAGGCTGTCGTTGAGACATGTGGTGCTGCATGAACTTGTCCTAGTACGCAGGTTTATCCGTGAAATCAGATTTCACGATCCTGAATGGACTGCGAATCTCACAGTAACTGATACAAGCTTTCTTTTGAAGACAGTGTGAATCGATTAACAACTGGTTTCTAGTCCTGGTTCTGTCAAAATTCGAAAAAGATCGGTTTGTATAACTGTTTGGTTCACACTGTATTCTACTGAACACTCCAAAAGGCTGCTGGTCATTTGAAAGACTCTCTTACGAAGCTCAAACATGCCATAAAACGCAGATATGTGGAATTGAAAGCATCATGGCCAACACAAGTCTCCGATGGAGTATCTTGTGGTTGGACGTGTTAGATACAAACGAGGTCAGAAAAGATACCATCATTACCTGCACGTTAATGAAATGTAAGACGCAACACCATGAGGGGTTTCAGAGTGTCCAATGAACCTTCACAGTGTCTTTCGTTTTTCCTCTACTTACGCCGTTTGTCCACTTACGTTGTGTCGCGCTTACTCGCAAATGAGAAATGATAATCTTTTCCTCCCCGATTTTACTCAGTCTCTTCTACCGTCACCCCCTCGAAGATCTCAATCTACAACAGTGTCAAGACAATACACTGTTCGAAACATACAAGACGCTTTACATCACATTCGCTAGTCAGAAAGGGAAAACTTGCAATCTTGACTAAATCTTGTAATTCCTCAACGGTCTCTAGTATAGCCTAATCGATTTGTCCTGAGAACTCCAAGGACAAGTGCATCTCGACAGAAGATGACTGCCTGCCTTAAGAAGACCCGTAAGCATAGAGGAAACGTGTCCCACGGTCACGGCCGTATCGGCAAGCACCGTAAGCATCCTGGTGGACACGGTAATGCCGGTGGTCAGCATCACCATCGTATCAACTTCGATAAGTACCATCCTGGTTACTTCGGTAAGGTTGGTATGCGTTACTTCCATCTTCAGAAAAACAAGTAATACCACTATCTAAAAGTGCACATGATTTCCTATATTATTATTTCTAGGTTCTACCGCCCTGAAGTGAACGTTGAGAAGTTGTGGTCCCTCGTTTCTGAGCAGACTCGTCTCCAATACGCCGACAAGAAGGACAAGGCCCCGGTAATCGACTGTACCAAGGCCGGCTACTTCAAGGTCCTCGGCAAGGGTAACCTCCCCAAGCAGCCCGTCATCGTCAAGGCTCGTTACTTCTCTAAGAAGGCCGAGGAGAAGATTCAGGCCGTTGGTGGTGTTTGCGTCCTTACCGCTTAAATGCTTGTACCGTTGTCGCCAGGAGAAGCAACAGCACTTTCCATTGCTTACTAAAGACGACTTTGGTGGCTGGAGGTCATCTCGGAGACTCTTTTCATTGCGTTTTGAGTGGTGTCAATTGGGAGATGTCGATGTGTCTTGGGTAATTCCTATCCGTCTATTGTCAAGAACAGGGACACTGTAAAGCATTCATTCAAAGTACTCGAGAATTTGGAGTTAAACTAAGAGAGAATTGACTGAACTAGATTATTCGGACAGTAAGTGGAACGCCGCATTGTTCGTTTTTTATTATAAAAAGTGTCTAGTACGTCGATTATCATAGTTATGCTCATGCATTCCATGTTCAACACGGAAGTGGAAACTTTGTTGCCTGGAGAAATATTTCTCGCCGACCTATTATTCGGCATAGTTTTATTATAGTACGAGTGAACAAACGTCCTTATTATTGAGGAAAACCATTCCCAGAGCCTTCACGAACACAGGTCACTTTTTTCGTCTCAGAATACATCGTGAGATCATCACTGCATGCATCAACTCTCGAATGAGATCTCGGCTACATTTCTGCCTATTTCCTCAAAGCTGCAACAAACACTGTCAATGTATCACTAACTGCTAACAGTTACCGCAGTGAGCGATGTGGTAACTACAAGAGGTAGATGAAATTATTCAATACACAAAGTGAACACACAAGCCTGGCAATATCCTATCCGCTATAAGCAAGCTCTTAATATGATGTTTCAATGCACCATTCTCCCGAGGTTCAACTATTTAGTGATATCGGATTTCTACAATGAGAACCCAAGCGATCGGTGTTGGAATATATGTTTTGGTTCCCTCAACTGAGCTGAGGAATTTCCTTACTAATTATAAAGCTTAACATGAGAATTCGGGTAGAAGGCCTGGACAAAAACCGTCGACATTTTTTCCAAAATTTCCTCACCATTTTGAACACAAGTAGTTGGCTATGTGCATATTTTCCTACACTGCAAGCAATGATCTTGCAACTCACTTGCTGTGTGCATATCAGCTTCCCGAAGAAGGCGGAGCGATGCAAATCACAGATATTTTTCCTGTTGGATAACTTCCACACATTGCCGAGACTTCAACACATCACCACCATCAGTAACACAGGAATCATTATCATGGATCATCCTACATGTTCACCAGAATTAACAACAAAGTCGAACAAAGGGATAGTCCCCGACCCAGCTTCGACGAGAACGCCGATCCACGAATTGATTCCAGGCATGTGGGTTCTGACGGACCCTTTCCGCAATAACCACCTAAGAGAACCTTTGCCGAGTTCGTATCATGTTATAGTTGTCCATTAATATTGTATTGAATCATTATGGTATTATCTATCTATGTGGCAAATTGTTTAGTAATTACACCAATTTACGGTATATAATAAATTTAATATATCGGATATAATTAAATGCATTAGCATAACATTTCTAACACACGAGGCATTTCCTGCCACTTACAAGAAACTGGACAATAAATTTCCTCCACTTTAGGATTCTCCACGGACCTGAACGATGGATGCTCTTCCCTTCACCTCTCGAGCCCAACGCACCCAATAGTCGCCGTGCTTTGTCGGAAATTTTCACACGCCACTTGACAGTTTGGAACTCCTGGAAGCGCACGAGAAATGCCAAGGTCATCATCTTGGCATTTCCATCGTTCACAGTCACCAACCTGGAATCCAGGCCAAGTTCCAAAACCCCAAAATATACTAATTTGCTACACTCATAGCTCCCCGCATATCTTTCCTATAGCTGTTGGAAACATTCGGACAAGGCATGCAAGTCGCCAATTGTAATGCGAGGTCATCCGCTGATATTTCTACATCAACAGACACGATTTTAATCACATGAAAAACACTCAACAATTTTCACTCCCACCTGCATCCTCTTCCTCTTCAACGGACACTACCTAGCAAATTTCATAGTCCATAGAGGAGCGCATCAACACTCACAGAATTTTCATAGTGGAGTAGCTCTGATACCTCCTGCGGTACATCCCTTGCTGAGTACCGCATAGCGTCTTGTCTATTTTTCCAATATTCGGGCGGGCCAGCATTGTAGGTTCCCAACGGACACTCGTACCTCACATGCAATTCGAAATGAAGGATGTAATGTAATAATATATAATGGAGTTTCACGACCCGTTTAACGTGAAGTTGCGTAATACTCCACGTAAATTTAAGACGTATATTTTTCCGCGACCGATAACACACTTGTTTTTCGCCAAGTGAATTGTGAAATATGTTTTCCACTAGTGTTCTTTATATCACTAGGGTGAAACTCCGGGGAACAGTTACGTGATCGAGTGGTTCCGGTTAATACTTCTAATTCATAATCTATTAATGGGCCCACCGAACTGTCTCCTTTTGTGATTCCCACGGCCCTGTAATAATAGGAGTTTCACGACCCGTTTTACGTGGAGTGGTGTAAATCTCGGTGAAAAACGCGATATTCGCGGTATGCCGTGGTCGTGGAATATGTTTTGCACTAGTGTTTTTCGTATCACTAGGGTAAAACTCCAATAATACAGCTATAGCCCTACGAGAGAAAGTTATCGCAGTAGAGAAATAAAAAAAGACACAATTGTCGAGACATAGCTAGAATCAAGTCGCTTCTTTCGCTGCTGCGACTACCACATACACCAGTGGGAATATCGTACGGTTTTCCATATAACATTCTCATGTTGCAAAAAACAAGAGAGAATATTTTCACTGATGGTCTTCCCAAGAGTTACTTTCGGCAGTCTCCAGGACAGCAGTGTCCCGGTGGGCAATCTCGACAGTCGCCGCAGCAACAGAATGCTCCCACTTCGAAAGACCCGCA